TGGTTGCCGGGCGTGGGGGGGGGGGGACGGGGAGGGAGAAACCAGTTCAGTGCTCCCCGTCCCCTGCACCTCTTCGGAGCATCCTTCCTCCCCCAGCGCTAATGGGAAGGAGGGACAGCAGCGGGTCTGGCCAGCTGCGCCGTAATATTTACGATGTCAGGTGTGGCTGGTTGAGCCAGCCTGTTTTGGGGACGGAATAAGGGGGCCAAAGGCCAAAAATGGAGTCAAGGCATAGGTGAATGTTGGTTGATACCAGTGTGGCGTACTATTTTCAGAGGCGCCCTACACGCCCAAAGACCTTCGATTGCAGACTCCTTCCAAAATAATATGTACACGACACCTGGGCAAATACCTTTTAGCCGATCCTGGGCGTTCTTGATAATACTTAACGGTTCATATAGTGGTTTATGGCGTTCACGTAAATTAACTCTCTTGATTCTGCCTGGCATCATGGCGAGGGAAACAAGGTAGACATCTTACAGGTTTTACTCCCGCCTTGGGAGCAGTTTCCTCATAATTACAGCTCTAGCTAGGACATTCTGTATTGCAGGAAATTTGCCTTTTATCCTATTAGAGACCCATTACCCATTAGAGACCCAACTACTCCTCCTCTTGCTCAAAGGTTCGTGCTCTGCGCTCAAGGACTGCGTTTCGGTGTCTGTTTCTCGTTGTTCATTTGCTCAATTTTCTTACTCTTGCCTAATTTTCTGTTTTTTTTTCTTTTTTTTAATTCCTGGAAGATTTCACACATAAAATACAGAGGGGTATCTAACCAATCCGTGATTAAGATTTACAGATGTAATTATTTTGCCGAATTTACTTCAGATCCTCTTTTTAATTTAAAAGAACTAAAATTGCAAAATATGGAGGTGCTCTCAGTTCCTGCCCCTCCTTCCGTAGAGGTTGTCACCGTGTTTAGGTTTGTGTATATCATTCCCTTGCATATTTTATACTTTGATCACGGTGGATCCATAAACAATATATAGTGTTGTGTGTTTTAAACTTTAATGGTATTAAACAATGTGTCTTTTTGCAACTTGCTTTTTTCAATCAGCATCACATTTTCAGACTTACATATGAATAAATTGGATAATTGTGTTTGGTTCATTCATTTTAATTGCTGGTATAGAATTCTGTTGTATGAATATACCATAATTTACTTATCCGTTTTCCTGTTGATGGGCTTTGTTTATGGTTTTTGACTCTAAAAAAAGAATCCTGCAATAAACATTTTTGTACTTGTCTGCTTTGTGCACACATTTGGAAGTTTCTCGAGAAAATACACCTAGTGGTGGATTTGCTCTATACTAGGAAATATGCATCTTCAACGTAACTAAATATCACAGAAGCTCTCAAAATGGTTGCACTAATTTTCACTCTCACTGGTATTGAGTGAGGACACCATTTGTCACACCCTTGCTAACACTGTATGTTACCTGACTTTTACATTTTTGCCTTCTCTTTACTGACCAGCTTCCTTATAACTTTAGCTTGCAGCTAAATTTGCTTGCACCCACCTTGGCTTCTGCTCTAGCCCTGTGTCAGCCTATGGGTTCATCTCTCACAGTTAACTGGCTCAGTCTTTAGCTCATTTGGTTCTCATAAGATTAATTCCAGTAAACATTTATTTTGTACCTAATGTATCAGTTCCAATGGTTGATGTAAGATAATTCCATGGTATGTTAGATGTACCTCTCTAATAGCAGGTGAGGTGATTTAATTACTTTTTTTGCATATGATGAACGATTTTTTAAAAATCTTTCCTCTAATGTAATATTTGATACTTTCAAAATATGTAACATATGTGCACGTTGTGAAGCAAAACAATAAAATGAACACCTATCAACCCACCACTCAATCCAAGAATCAAAATGATCAATCCAGGAATCAAAATGACCGATATTGAATGTGCTCACCTCCAGAGTGACTACTATCCTAAATTGTGTTGTGTCATTCCTTGTTTTTTTTAAAAACAATTTTATCAGATATGTATACATCCCTCAACAATGTATTGTGTCGTTTCTATTGTTTTTGAATTTAAAAAAAGAATACTGGATACAGCTTTCTGGGTCTTGCTTATTTCACTCAATGTTATGTTTCTAAGAGTCACTGATATTCAGTATAGATATGTCATTAATTTTCACAGCTGTGTAATATTCTGTGGGTGAATATAACACAGTGTATGCGTTCTTCTGTTGATGAACATTTTGGTTGTTTCTAGGTTTTGCTATTTTGAAGATTCTTGTACATATCTTCTGGTACATAGTTGCAAGAATTTCTCTACTTTTCACACTGGGGTATATGACCTCTGGGGAAGTAATAAAGATTTTCTGAGGAGTACTTGGGCACAGGTAATATTAATGAATCAATTTGTGATCATTAAATTCCATGTGTACCCTTTGGTAAAACTGGTAATGCCTGAAGCCTGTGACAGAAACTTCCTCCTGGTTCTACTTTCCCACCTTCCCTCTCACAGTAGCACTTCTGCCTTAAATTAGGAATGCATAGCGCTCACCCATATGGAATCTTACCAGGGTAGTGTCCCAGTTGAAAAACTGTCCATGGAAAACAAAAGGCTAATCTAAAATACATGGAGCTATAGTGTTAGGAAACACCTCTTTTAATCCAGACACTTCCCATCTCCTCAAGAGCTGCATTTCCAATAAAATGTAACTTTTATGTTTAATTATCAGCATATATACTAGTTATTTTTTGATCAACTCTGTGCTGTAATAATTATGACATTTTAAACCAATGATATGTCAGTTTTAAAATGTCACTGTGATACTCTAGAAATTCATCCTTTGCAATCATTTAAACTTGGGGCTGAAATTTTTTAGATGTCATTTTAAAGTGTGAAGAATATGTAATTTTTAAAGCGTTGTGGTTTGTGAGTAAAAAAATATTGGAATACCACTGTGGTAAGCTATTTGCTGGAAGTGGAATTGCTGCGTTATGGGGTATGAATGTTCAACTTTACAAAATGATACCAAATTGTTTTCCAAAGTGGTTGTACCAGCTTATACTTTGGCAGGCAGTTTTGTCAATTTATATACTTTGATTAGCAGTGTGTAAGAGTTATAGTTGACCTATATTCTCTGCAACACTTACTACTTTTAGACTTCTTAATATTTATCACATATGAAGTGATGTGCATTGTGGTTTTAATTTGTATTTCTTGATTGTTAATGAGTTTTAGCATCTTTTCATTTGTCTGTGAACCATCTGTCCTTTTTGTTCACCAAAAAAATACCTCGTCATATCTTTTACCCATTTTTCTGTTGGGCTGTCTTTTAAAATAAACTGGTAACATCGATCCTTTATTGAGTATACATGTTGTAAATTTCTTCTAGTTCATGGTCTGTCTTTTTGCACTTCATGGTGTATTTTGCTGAACAGAAGTTCTTAATTTTAATGTAATCTAATTGGAAACTTTCCCTGCCCTGGGATTATAAAGTCATTCTCCTGTGTTTCTCTTTAGAAGTTTTTAAATGACGCCTTTCACATTTAAGTTCATAATCCATCTGGTACTGATTTTTGTATATGGTGTGAGGTAATGATCCACATTCATTTTTTCCCCCCATGTGGCTACAATTGACCTCACTCCGTGTATTGAATTGGCCCTCTGTTCACTAGTGATCTGCTGAACAACAACAACAAAAAGTTTGGTAGCATTTATCTGTGAGATCATTTGTATCTAATTTTTTTGTGTGTAGAGGACTGTAAATTGTTGATAATTAGCAATTGAATAGTAATAGGACTTCAGGTTTTCCATTTCTTTTAGTCAGTTTTGGTAAATT